TGCCCCCCCCCCCCCCCCCACACCCTCTCTCTATCAATCAACGTAGAGCGATCTCGCTCAATGGAAGTACACCAATAATGCCCAAGCAAAAAAATCTGTAGATTTTTAGACGAGTTCCGAATCCACTTTTATTCACCTTTTTCTTCTTCGCGTCCTTGAACACCCCCTGAGCCTTCGACTGCTGCGCGTTGGGCTCGTCGCAAGCCGTGTCGGAGTCGAGGCGGAAGAAGGCCTCCATCGTCGGTGCGAGCCTACGCCACATCGTGCTGGTGGCGTTCGCCGCGTTCCTGTCGACAATGAAACAGCAGCAAAAAGCGATGTTAGATTATCGATTGTCACAAACAAAAACGTCGCCGGGGTAGGTTTCGAATGAAGACTGGAACCCAAGTTATCTATGGAACACGTGCCTGTCCACGTGTTTACGTTTTGGTTAGACGCTCGACATGTAACCAAAACGCCAACCAAACACCGCACTTGCTTGTTCAACGACCGTGTCATCTCTCTCTCTCTCTCTCTCCTTTCTCTCTTCCTCTCTCTTTCTCTCTCACGCTCTCTCCATCTAACTATCTTGTAACCCTCCCAATCCCCACACCCCATCCTTCATCTACACCAGCGGTGTTGCTGCGGGGTTCATGGATGCGATGCTTAACTATTGCCCGGGTCGGAGTAGTCTGAGCAAATATTCCTATGCTAATACCGTCAGCTTCCCGTCTAGCTCGTCATGGAACATGCAAGCGAGGCCTACCAGTAAACGCAATCAATCGTTTATGGCGCGCGGGCGTGCAGTACGTACGCACAGGTCGCTTGTCGTAGTTCTGTCATAACCATGGTTTACATTTTCAAATTTTGAATGACAGCAGTATTTTAGTATGCATCCCTTTCGTACCCAACTTGTGTAGGCGTTAAACGCTTCGCTTTGCCTATTTGTGTGGAGCACGAGGAACAAAATGCTAAAAATTAATCCATGACATGATACACCCACAAAAACACTTCTCATGCACACCGCCGTCGATGCCAAAAATAAAGACACGCGAACTGACCGTGCTTCCGCGGGTTGGTTCGCCCACTTCCGGTACTGGTGCTTCTTGCTCGTGAGGAAGTTAGCTTGCGCTCCCTTCCCATACTCCAATGTCGAATCGGATCTTCCCCCATAGCGCATGCGCTCATCCAGGCTGGCCTTCTGCCACTTCTCGAACACGGCATCCGCTATGGCCTTCTGCTCTCCCCAATTCGTCGAGCATGTCGTCTTCATCCTCCACTTCCCATCGTCCCTGGTCTTGCAAGCATCGAGGAGGGCCTCCAGCAGCAGACTCAGGTACAGACCGTTGTAGTTCTGTCCGCCTTTTTTCGGCGGGGTGTGCACGTTTTCCTTCCCCGCGGCTGCCGCGACCGCCGTATTGGAAGCAACGGCCAACAGCTGCACAGCACCGCCGGCGGCGCCCTCAACTCCTTTTGCATCCCCCGATCCAGCCAGAGGCTCTCCCAACCCCGGCGAGGTCGGTTGTAGCCGGTCCTGCAATCGCCGCGCTGGAGGGAGGGCCTGGGAGAAAAGCCGAGCGAGGAGGATCCACCAAGCTGCCGGTGAGGTCCGTTGGAGGCGCGCCGGCGGCGGCCGCCCCTCGGGGAGAAGAAGCTGGTTGATGAGGCACGCCGCTGTCGTTAGAGGTTGCAACAGGGGTGGAACTCGCTGCTGCGCCGGTGAGAGGGCCGGGGGGAAGGCGCTGAGTGAGGAGGGGGCGCCCCGTCTCGGGGACAACCCTGTGCTTGGGCCCATCCTGCATGGCTGCGGGCGTGCTGAACAAGCTGCCCGTCGTGCGTGCGCTTCGCCGTTGGAAGGGCCTCCGAAGCACGCCCCGATTGACTTCCTAGCCAAGCAGCTTGAGCGGCGGATGCCGCGGCGCTCACAACACCGGAAACCCCACATATGCCAGGGAGACCTGCCGGAGGAGCCATAGCTCCGGCAGTCCGTGGGTCACGGCCCGAACCCCATACCGTGCCGTTGGCGGTGGCGTAGGGCTGCGCATGATGCTGCGGATGGTAAAATCCGCCAGGTGTTGCCGTCTTGGGGTATGCAGGCACGTTCATGCTGGGGTGCGCACCAAGCACGGGCGCCGTCTGTTGTCCTTGAACGCCGCCGTGCTGCACAGGGTGCGCCGTGTCGTTGCCGAGGTTGCTCATCTTAGCGGTGTGTAGCTCGTAGCTGTGAAGCGTGCACACGGCTGCTGTGTGGGATGTGGGTTGTGGCTCTCACCTCGCGCTGTGTTCTGCTGTTTGCTTAGAAAAGCGGCGCGTTTGGTTCCTGTCTGCACTCCAAAGTTGTGATGCGGGAATTCCCTCATATGGGGCTCGAAAGCCCCATATGAAATCATGCAGGAATTGACTCTTTACACGCCAGGGCGACGGGATTCCCGCGGGAATATAACGAACAGCCCGCTACCGCTTTCAAACTCGTGAGGCGGGAATTCCCGCATATTTCTGGATTTTCACGTGCTAACCCGCATGCGGGAAGCGGGAATCGGAGTTTGAAAGATGTCTATAGTAAATGTGGTTGAATATGGGGCATGGATCTACGGAGATTGCAGTTGGTAGATTGCGGAGGAACAGGGAGTTTCTGCTTGGTTTCTTCGGAGATTCGATGAGTGATCTGAATTGCGTGACGGATAGGTGTGGGGACGCTCTCTTCGGTTGCTCACTCTCTTTTGTTCTCTGCTGTTCCCTCTTCCCTCTAATACAAGACTTTCCCATCTCGGCCCTCACTGGCCGAGTAGCCTTTCTCCACAAACCTACAAGCTTCGGCCTACCCGGTTTATCCAACACGAGGCTAAACCTGCTGCTCAAAAAGTAGCTACCAAAGAGAGCCCAGATAAAGCGTTAACGACTTTGTCGAGGGTGATTGGGTAGCACCGATGGGCAGCCGCATGCGCGGCTGACGACATCCAACCAGACGAAGAGGCCAACAGCGGCGAGGGCCTGCACAGCAGCAGCACCCACAAGACCTACAGCAGCGCTCCCAAGACCTACAGCAGCGCCATCGTCAGCTGAGGCCCGCCGTCTACTGGGCTTGTAGGCATGAACAGGCACGTGATGACTTGTCAGTTTTCGACTGCTGTCGTTATGTGTACACCCATCCATGCGGTGATGCGGTACGCCTACCTACATAGTGCCGTCAGATCCTAAACGCGGCATTACGCCGTGCGGTACTGCCGTCAAACACCAACGCTTACTCCAACTCCACCTCCACCCGGTACTGCCGTCAAACTCTCTCTCCAACTCTTTCTCTAGAATAATCGCGGCAACACGCTGCTCGGTAAAGCCGTCAAACACCAACACTTGCTCAATCAAAACGCGACAATACGTCGTGCGGTACAGCCGTCAAACTCCACCACTCGGTCAAAGGCCGACTACCTGTACCAAATGGGTAGACACAATCCAGGTTACCAGTAATCCTCAAAAACTGATGCCAGTTTCTAAACTGATGATATTGTGTGTGCGTGTAGCATGGTATTAGAAATAGTATTGTGCGTAATGTAATGCAGTGATTGGCGAAGTTTTGTGCTTTGTCTTCCTGACAGCCGTGCTGAGACCAACTTTCTCTCGCCGGCAACAACGTCATCAACGTTTTATCTGGGCTCTCTTTGGTAGCTACTTTTTGAGCAGCAGGTTTAGCCTGATCAAAAATTCGTGATCAACGTTTTATCTGGACTTTCTTTCGGTAGCAGGTTTAACCTGATCAAAAACTTTCATGTCTTGGTTGTGTTAGCGAGTACCACAGACGTGTGAAGTCTCAGCGACGTGCAACATTGATTGGTACATCCACCTTGTTGCAGATTAAAAATCCACAATATTGACGAAATAAATGCTGATTTCCGAATATTGTTATACGTTGTCTTGAGGTTGCTATTTGTTATGAGATTGCGATTCCAAAGTTGTGAAAGTTTCGACTTAGGATTGATTACCCTTTGTTTGGAACAGGAGCAGCGGCTGAATTATGATTTTGTGATAGAGGACTAATCAACCTCCGTTTCAGGATGATATTCAGGTATCTCTGTATTGAATTGCAATGTCGCAGTGATAGGTAATTTCAGACAAACATTGCACAAGTAGGGTCCGACGACTTGAAAGTGTATTTCATTTATTGTTTTTTCTGCTGCAGTCACTACTGTGCAGAACCGGGGGGAATGTTGGTAGTATGTGATTCTCTTCAGTAGTGCTGGTTTGTTCGGAACTAATCTGCCGCCATCTTCCCCTCCAAACGCGCGACCTGCCCTGCACCACTGCCGAGTCAATCCTCCGGGAGCGACAAATGTTTTTCCCCCACTTCAGGCGGACGCGAAGATCCAAGCTCGAGTCGCGGCCAGCCGGAAAAGATGAAAGACGGAAGGCGACCGCGGTGAAGGCGTGCGAAATATCCGCTGGGGGGAGAGAAACAATGGCTTGGGCAATGGGTTAGCGCTGGAGCTTGATGGGCCGGCAAATGTAGGAGTTTCGAGTGTTTTTGTTTTGGTATTGAATTGGAGGATTTTCGGGTGTTGATTGTTTTGGTGTGAATTGAAGGATTTTCGAATGTTCTGTTTTGGTACTGGATTGGATTATATGTTTTGGCATTGAATTTGATTTTGTTTTGGTGTTCGTCGGGATTTATTTGCAGGAGGATTGTTTTTCTTGGGTTTTGACTGGATGAACATTAAATGTTGTTCTTTTGTTCTATGGTTCAGACTCCAACCCCTTCTAAGCTCACGGGGGCGAATCTCCCAGAGCAGGGGGGCGCGTTGTTCTTTCGGAAGATATTTACCTGTAGGTGGTACTAGGTTTCTAGAGAGACACAATAGGAATACTCACGTATTTTCTGCGCAAATGATCTTCACGCTGAACGAATGTTTGATGGATGGATGTACTGGAAGCACAACGAAGGCGAATTTCTACGAATTGATCCGTGTTTTCGAAAGTGAACGTGATGACGATTGTCACAGATAGGTTTGGTTCGATGGATTGTTTAATGCTTCGGTTGTGCGGGGGATTTTAGTACTTTGCGGGTGTCGTTGCGGTGAAGTACTGAGAAAGGATGGACCAGAAGAAGAGCGTGTTTTCAGAGAAGGAATGAAGGCGATGAGACAAGACGTTGTGAGTTCAGGAAAATTTGCATCATCGAGTTCTTGGTTATTTGTGTGTCATGGAGGAGTAGGACCTACATTTTGGGTCGTAGATGGAATTATATTGACTTGCCGTGTCATTACGATGCATACGAGCAGGGGGGCTGTTAGATATACTCGTAGCATAGTAAATGTGGTTGAATATGGGGCATGGATCTACGGAGATTGCAGTTGGTAGATTGCGGAGGAACAGGGAGTTTCTGCTTGGTTTCTTCGGAGATTCGATGAGTGATCTGAATTGCGTGACGGATAGGTGTGGTGACGCTCTCTTCGGTTGCTCACTCTCTTTTGTTCTCTGCTGTTCCCTCTTCCCTCTAATACAAGACTTTTCCATCTCGGCCCTCACTGGCCGAGTAGCCTTTCTCCACAAACCTACAAGCTTCGGCCTACCCGGTTTATCCAACACAGTGTATTGCTACGTGTATGTATGCACAGTAGACGATACTACGTGACAACGCTGGGAAGGAGAACATATCCTTCCCCAGAGAGTCCGTAGTCGGTACTGTGGCAGCAGTACTTCTCCTGCTGCAGCATGTACGGATCGAAATACCATTTTCATGTCTCTTCGAGTGAACACACACACAAACAATAACATATGATAACTAGTATGCGTGGAGTTGTCGTGACAAACTCTCCTATTCACACGTCCTACGCACTGCTGTCACGTTCCAAGTAGTCTATTAGACAGCTTTAATGTAGACATAATCCTGCCTGTTTGGCATGGCACGTAGTTTTGTTGTTGTGGCGGTCAAGCAAACCCGACAGAAAACGAACTACTGCATAGAGCTCATAGGTAAACCGTCTCCGAATCCAGTTGGGAGAGGTGGGCCTTGTGTGGTCTGGACCGGGGCGGTACGATAGTGCCTGAACCGGTAGGGTACTGCATATTGATGCCTTTTGCTGTTATGAAATTCATTGATTGCTAATTGGCTCCGAAGCACCACTACCCGAAAAAAGGTCACCGGTAACGAGAACGAAAGGAAGACTGACTTCGAAAAATGTGCATGAT